AAAAAAAAAAAAAAAAAAAAAAAAAAAAAAAGAAATACTTTCTCACTTCTTTAGTTCTTAATCGGAAAAAAGTACCGGTAAAGACGTTAAAACGACCAGATACGGACTGATCTTCGTCACCACTTTTCGCGGTACTGTTACTATTGTTGGACGGTGGCCGCCAATTTGATATTAATAAGTGTTTTTTTCATTTAGTCTTCCGTTTTGCTTAACGCTTTCATCTTTTTTCTGTCAACCTTTTGAGCCCATTACTGTTTATACACATTTATCCACTTGCTAAATGACAACCAACAAACCAATGTGAGTAAACTTTACTACGTTCATTGTGTGAAACAGTCAGTCTGGACAATTGTGGAAACGAACTCCAGCCCCAACTGATTTCAACAAAAGATCCATTGACGTTATGTCGACCACAAAAAACTTCTCAATTACTTGCTTTACCTTAGCCTCCTTAATTACCTCCTCTCCCTGCATTTCGTCTCTTTCATTCCTCTTTTCTCCAAATCTCACTCTTTTCTCAATTCTCTTGTTTACTCCATTCTTCATTGACAAATAGCGTGGGGTAAAAACAAACTTACGCTCCTGTTATATGATCAGTTTGGCAAAAACCTTAAACAGCTCCCTCCTCCCCTTCCCTCCGCCACATTTAGCTTAGTCTTCCAATGCCTTAGCTCGACTCTCCGCCCTTTTCTTCCGCAGGCTACTCTAATTCCTCACCAAAAATCAAAAATGGTAATTTGATAATTGGTTTTAGCAGTGATCAAACGTACTGTTATTCAATGCGAGATAGTCCATCAAACTTTCATTACGGCCAAGATGTACCATACAATTTTTAGTATAAAGGAAACTGAATCCTGCTGCAAATTGGTGGAAAAAGAAAAAACAAACAGAGTAGGAAGCGTACAGTAATCAGGACTCTAAAGTGGACGAATTAAAAACGCAAAAGTATTAGGTTCTACTGAAACATTGTCATCATTATCACTTACTCGTGAACTTGGAAGAACGCAAAAAATTTTAAAGTAAACATCTCATTTTATCGACGACAGCGAGTTACTCCAGCCTCCTAAATTTGCCATATGAACACATTGAAGACTCTTCCTATCTTATAAAAAACTCCAATTCTTTCTTCCCTCTTCGTTTTCCAATTCAGAGGAACTTAATTTATGGTACATTAAAA